GCACAGCAAAATTAGGTGCTGGTGAAATTGAAGTGAATTAGTTGCTAAGAGGTGGATAGATATGAAGTTATAAAGTTTTAATTATAATATTAGCCTTATCCTTAAACCTATGAAAGTTAGCCTATTTTCATATAATCACCCACGCCCTCTTCAAGGCCCTAATATTTCTTCGCGCAGGATTTGCCATCCACAACATAAAAATTAACCAAGATATACGAAAAATATCCCTTCTTTAGCATTTCCTCTCCTTATAAGGCCTCTTTTCCGATCACCCACATATTCTAAAATGTCATAAGGTGTAATCATCATGACTTAAACAACTACGAAATCAACTAGGATTAATGTCGGACACAAATGCGAATAAAACGTTTTGACTACAGAGATAAAATACATTAAAAACACAACACACATGTAACTCTCGTATGTTGCCACGCACGCTGTACCCTTTGTGGCAGCCATTTTGGTCGACTCATACGCCACCTATATTTACTGGCACAAGCGAATTAAAACTATTGGAAAGATTATTAAGTAGATTTTTCTAACACGCGCGTATTGGATTTCGGATGGTCCGATAACGTAATTGTCATCATAAATGTTTTTGAAACGACGTTTTAAGTTCAAACACATAAATTTACATATTTTTCGTGTGTGTGGGTCAACGAAAGAGCTTAAGCTCCCGTAATTCCATTAAATGCTAATGATTTATTATATAAGCTTAAATACTAATTTACTACATTATATAAAAGTCTAAGAATGAAATTTTACCCTCTGAGTCTTCAAAATCATCCCATGTATACTAGCATAATCCGTGTATGTAATCCATAACTAAAAACTTTTTGCAGTCGACCCCCCTATAACACGGTAGATAGGTTCCGTTTTTTATGAATCGATTTCTTACGAGTCCTTGCAATCATAGCCCGACAAGTGTGAAGTTTACGGACTACAGCTGTTTGAAAGGTTTTCTTCCATAAAATTAATCGATTCTAGACTAATTCGACTCAACATTTCCAAAATACGTATATTTTGTGGGGGGAATAATCCGTATAAACTACGGTATAAACAAAAAATTGTAGGATTACTTACCGAGTGTGCACCGTTCGACGTCGCCATTGCTCAAGCTTGTTTTTGTCGCGGAGCAGCGCACCAAACGGCGGGCGATTTCTGATAAGTTATTTTTCTGCAAAAACTTCGTTGAACTTTGGAGACATCATTAATATAAATAATTTTTATGGCCCTTGAATAAGAAATGTTTCTTTCACAAGAAATGTATAAAATTACAGTACTGTATTAGACTTACGGTACCTAATTTACATACTGTACAGACGATAGTAAACAACTTACTCGCCTAAACTCTCCGTAGCGTGGCGCTGGACTAATTTATATATAATTAATATATAATTATATGTACAGTATCTAATTTATATATAATACTGTACAGACGATAGTAAACTCAATTTACCCGCCTAAACTGTCCGTAGCGTGGCGCTGGACGGCGGAAAGTAGTTCGGCTGCCCGATGACGTTACACGTAATTATAAGAGTTTTTTTACCGTTGTTTACGGATACCGTCGCAATTTTTTCGCCGTCTTATAAGAATCCTAATTATAAGAATCCATGTTATAGGGGGGTCTACTGTATTAACTGAAAAGAATTGTCTATTCCATCATAGCAAACGCCGTTTATTGGTTAATTTATTACAGAACAAACACTTGTAAGACTTGATACGAATGTAGTTTATCCTCGATGATCGACATTATTCTATTTATAGAAACATGTTGTAGCATAATACATCTTTGAAATAATAAAAAAAATTGAAAATGAGTCGTGGCGAATTTATTTATGAAAATTAAAAATCATATGCCAGAACTGTGACTCACTCGAGTTCGAGCCACGGATTTCGTTTGATAATTTTAAATAGGGTCTTGTAAGTAATCCGAAATGGTACGTACAAGAAACTTCTGTACGTTAAAAGAAATTTAAAATCGTTAATGAAGTACACTCACCTTCTACAGCCACGAATAACGACAAAATTCAGATTTTTTAAACATAGAAATAAATGCGTTAATGCCAGAGACGTAAAATAAATTTAAAACGAGTAAAAACACATTGTAATAATTACAACACTATCGGACAATTGTCAATCTTGAATGTTAAATAGTTCTAGCATTAATTTTTTTGTAGATATTAATTTAAATTATAATAGTAATTTAAAATTTAAAAATTAAAAAATTCAATAAATATGTTCTAAATTCCATTTTGAATTTGAACTAAACAAACGTTCGATATAACGTTGTTTCCGATTCGAACACAATTTGACACTTTTTCTATTTCATTAACGACTGTGAAAACAGACATTAACGAAATTTGTCAAGCTATTTGGCATGTGTTAACAAAAGATTACGTAAAGTTTCCAAGCAGAAAAGAATTTGCTAATCTTGCGAAGAAATTTAAAAGAAATAGAACTTCTCTCATTGTGTTGATGCAATGAATGTATGAAGAAAAAATTGTTCTGAGACAGAGACAGATTTTCGCACATTATCGATGGACTGGCCACGTACAATTTTCCAGGTTTTTTTTCATGCATATAACGCATAAATAATGACCACATTGACTCTAAATGATGTTCTCGAGAAGCATTTTTGAAGTAAATCGCTCACGTCTTTCTTTGTAATTACCTATCAAAAAACAAAAACATAAAAAAAATTCAGAAATAAAATTACTTCTGATACGTAATTCTAAGCACGTTCCGTAATTAAAGTGACGTAAGCACGTTTCTAATTGTTGCGTAAACAATAGATAGTAATAATAGATTTTCGGCCATTGTCGAAGCGTTTTTTGTTCGGTGATATCGAATGCGAGATTCTTTATTGAAAAAAAGTTTAATGAGTAAGTTAAAGTACATTTTTATTGTATAATTATGTTAATTGTTCAAAAATCAATGTACAAACATAAAACTAAGAGTAATTTTCGATCAGATGTTTAAAAATCCGAAAAGAATGTTATAGAATGATAAGAACGGCGTATATAGCCTATTCTTAGTGCTATTCACGATATTTAACTTTGCATTCATTTTCTGCTTGAGACAATTATATTATTAAACGTATTTTCTTCAAATAAATAACAATTTATTATTTCGTTTCCGCATTTTATCCAATTTCTCAATATTCAATTCCATTAATAAACATCCAGTCATTTACTTCACCGGGAATAACTCTTCAGTAAGCAATATTGCATATCAGTTACTGTATTGATTTTAGGATTGTAACAATATACACTTTCCACACAATTAATAATATCAAATCATAATGTAATATTTATGACAGAAATAAGTTTACTTTTGCTAAATCCTGTGCATTTGCTATTGCTATTGCTGTGGATTTTCAATGGAATAAATTTCCAAAATATGTTTCCACAATAAGGATTTCATCTGTTTATTTGGTGTAAACTGTTTGTCATATTCTTTCTTTCTTTACCTGTTTCAAATTCTTATATAATTATTAAATTCACTCGAAAATCTTTTACGAATTGCTGTGTTTATTGCGTTTACTTTTATTCTCTAGGTTCTAATTGTAAAATGGATGGAAATAATACGAGTGAACACGCCGCACGTGAAGACGATGTTGGTGCGGAAGATTATTTTAAAACTTTAGTAAATGCAATCATTCAACTGACGGCAGATATTAATGAAGATTTTCCGGAAGAATCAGAATTATATTCTTCTGTAAGTTCAATTCAAAATAATTTAATAATTCTCATTATCTAAAGGTTTAAAACTGAAAAACATAACACGAGAAATGCACAATTTATGGAAAGTGTTAATTGTAATGACTGCAAATTCTTTATTAATTAATAAATGATGTTTTTCGAGTAATAAAAGAACATTTCGACTATTGTAAGATTATTCTATCAGGAATGAAAACTTTTTTACTTTTTACAGGATTCCGATGAAGAAGAGGAGGGTGATTTCTGGTTTCTGGAAACTACTACTTGTGAAAACAGACCTTTGAAGAAAGAGTTTATATTTCTAGAGAAGCATTCATTGGTCAAAAAAATAATATATGAGGAAAATGAAGACGATGACGTCAGTATTAAATTGAATGAAGGTGAGGTTACAAACAGATTATAAAGAATTATAAAATAATTTGTTAAAAATTATTAAGAAATCTTTTAATGTTAAACTCATTCTGTTTAAATTTATTTAAATTATAAAACTTAATATTAGTTATCCATTTGCACTCTTTCACGTGTGTTGTATGTCGTAGTTTATTGTATTCGAAACAATTCAAAAACAGATCATTCATTTCTACAAAGATTCCATTTATTTCGTCAAAAACACTTTTGATAATGATTTTTGTTACTGTTTAACTAACAATTTCAACCACATTATATAAATATTCAGCAGTAAACATGATTAATTAGGAGTAAACCAACAAATAAAATAATTGCCACAAACACGACCTTAACATTGACAAAATCATTCATTGTCTTGGTCAATTCTCGTATGAAATTTAATCGAAAATTAATTTATCATCATTCAAAGTATATGTCGAGAAATTTCCAATAGTTTTAATATAATTGAATGAATTTTATTCTTCTGTCTGTCATAATATTTGAATTGGGTCACATTTGACCTTTGACGTTTTTGAAATGGTTGTGACACCTCCATACAGAAAAAGTAAAGAAACGAAATATGTGTGTGTGTACTCACGTCTGTTTCATTTAATACCTGTGGATATGTAAACATTACAAACCGAAATTTGCACGGTAACTTGTTTAATAAGAGATATCGGTAAGAAATTCGATTTGACATTTACTTACATAGTAATTATATTGTATTACCTCACTGTTTACACAATAATACTACTTTCTGATTTCCTATACACTTAATATAAAAATATAGAAATATATTTTTACATAAACTTATTAGCCTAATGCATTTTTCATAATGAATGTGTTTGATATAAAATTATATAAAAGTAAAAATTTAAATGATTTTCGTAAAAAAAAATAAAAACAACGAGATGAAGGGAGAAAATAAACAGTCAGGAAAATTAATTCGACTGGATAAGAAAAGAAATACAAATGGCAGATTTCCATACAAAAGTGAAGCGGATGATGATGATAAAGTAAGAAAATAAATTTGAATTACTTTGAGAATAACCAAAATTTGCAAAAGACAAATTAAAATACTCAATTATTAACGAGTTTCCTGTTACAAGCAAACACTTCATCATTTGTGCTTGTCGTTGATAAAATCCGTTTAGTTTGATTAAAGTCCTTTTCTAAATGTCCAACATCTAAATTTACTTTTCATATTTATCCATTTTTATAAAATCAACAGAAAACAACTCGTGTCTTTTTAATAGGAAATTTTTAATTCATTGGAAAATAACATCACTTTCGTAATGTTATTTTTTAACAAACATTTTATTTTATTTACGAAATATTTTTATTATTTGCAGGAAACGACCAAATGTTTGGATGTTTTTGTGGAATTCTTCCGTAGAATTCCATCTCTCATCTGCTGTTGTTTTAAAAGAAAAAAGTAAAATGGCGGAATGTACATCGTCTATATTTTAATGGTTTCATTCCGTTAAACTCAAAGAAAAAAGAAAAAACAGTTATATTTTACTTCATATTATTAGGAAAATTTATCGTTTCTATAATTATAACGAAGGCACATTACAAAATTTATTGGTGAAAAAATCCGGTGTGCAACTTTAATCGGCAGGCGCCCTGGTATCATCTGCTCTGTACTTTCGGCTGAATTATTAATGCTTAAATAAATACAGAGCGAAAAATAACTTCTACTACATTCGTGCAATGTTCGAATGAAATTTTAAGGAAAAAATAAAATGAAAAGTTTAAAAAAAATTCGAATCAACTTTCAAAATTCTACAGATCACATTTTTAAAAAGTTTCATAAAAATGTTAAGGTGTTCCTTTCTGGAGACGTCATTGAAATGCTTGTCTTTCCAAGGGCAGAATGAAAAAGATATAAGGAAGAATTGACGAAGTGGTCCTATGGGGAGACGTCATTAAAATGCATGTCTCTACATGGGAAGAAAGAAAAAGGTATAATGAAGAATTAACAAGGTGGCCCTTCGGGAAGACGTCATTAAAATGCTTGTCTTTCCAAGGGCAGAATGAAAAACATATAAGGAAGAATTGACGAGATGGTCCTATGGGGAGACGTCATTAAAATGCTTGTCTCTAGAAGGGAAGAAAGCAAGAAAATGGCCATTGGAATAGTCAAACAGAAATCTGTTCGCCTTCGTGAATATTTCGTTTAAACAAAGTGTGATTTGATTAAACAAAATAATGAATGTGATTTAACAAATACTCCTACTGATGAAGGAAAAAGCTTGATATTAATGAAACTTTTAAGGCCTCCGCGAAGTTTTTTCGTTTTTATAAATTCAACAAAGTGTTACTTCAATTTGTTCAAACAATGGAATTTTTGTTAAAATTTAAGAAATAGAGTTGGAATGCACACCGTTTACTATCTATTTATGTTTTTCTGTATGAAAATATTATATCTTAGGTTTATTATTAATATTCTTAAAAATAATTATCTTGATTGCAACTAAAAGTCAACTTTTGTGTTGCGTTTTTCAAACAATAAATTAATGTGCCTTTCAAGTGTTTACTGTTCAATTTATTACAAAGTATATTCGAAAAANTAATGAAGAATTAACAAGGTGGCCCTTCGGGAAGACGTCATTAAAATGCTTGTTTTTCTCTATGAAAATATTATATCTTAGGTTTATTTTTAATATTCTTAAAAATAATAATCTTGATTGCAACTAAAAGTCAACTTTTGTGTTGCGTTTTTCAAACAATAAATTAATGTGCCTTTCAAGTGTTTACTGTTCAATTTATTACAAAGTATAATCGAAAAATTTTAAAATTTATTACACGAAATATAAACAAACAGAAATAGACACTTACTTGTATACAAATGTAATAATAATTTTAGTTATTCGGATTCGTATAGCAGACGAAATAGATCGTAATATGACAGTTGAAATGTGTTTAATACTATGGTAATATATTTTTTGTATAGTTCTCTTCGCACACATTAAACACATTCAATAATACGTAGACATTAGTTATACTAAAATATAAAAAAGTAAATTTGTACAATTAATACGAGCAATCTATTTATTAAAGAAAAAGCCGTCACTCATCGATCGATAAGGAAATTTTAAAACGATTTATAAAAATACACAAACATTCTGTTGGAACCGGGTGTTGTGTGGCGCGTTTCTACACAGTTAAGATATTGCCATACACGAGCGTGCATGTTTACATTCGATGAATTGGGTGGAAAAAGCAATATTTTGTCGTAACTCTGGCTGATTCTTTAACTCATTTGTGTTAAAAATGAGTTAAAAAAGACCTCTAGTAATGGCCAGGACGAATTCACATATAGAAAAATTACATTTCTATTCGGACTATACATATAATTGAGTCCATCTTCATTTTTCCCTTTACACGCATTTTTTAAATGTTCTTTCTATGTTTAAAGACACAATTATTATTATTTTTTTCAAAATGCCGCTCACTTCAATACACGAAGAAAATATCGAATTAAGTCTACTTATTACCTGTAAATAACGATATTTTACACGATACAAAAATTATGACAGTTTACTCTTATCGGGAAATCCCGTTTTATGTAAAAGATATATGTAGAAACGATTTTTATTGTTTGAAAAACAACGAAAATTGTTTTTTGTCTATTTACAGTTAACAGCTACAACATTTGAGATAATTACAGTGTTTATAGCTATTCATTGGTTCACTATTATAAATGAATCGTGAGTCCACCAGTGATCAAATCTCTGAACACAGGTCTTGTCGTGGGTTCACACGTCGCCAAGTGTTGTTTTCCGAGTTTTCTTCACGTCGTCCTTATTGCAACGCTTAATTCACGCGTATCGTGCATCTTAGTATGCTAATGGAATAGACGATCGTCTTTCTGAAAGACAAAGTCATCGAAAATGACTTCTATTGCATAGTCGACATTAGGTATTCTATTACATAGTCGACAATGCCTAATAAAAAATTTGAAACAAATTTTTCAAATTTGCAGATTTCCTGTTTTTTTTTTCGTGTCTGGCATGAACGATCCAATTTAAATATTTGTAAATTACAAGACTTTAATCCCGACGATTAATTAACCCCTTCTCTATCCAACACAGACGTGCGACGTGTGCAGAGAAGGGAGACAAACATATGTCGATCTGAATTACAGATAAGGCCATGTGCGAAAGTAACTTGATTTTTATTATTATCAAAACGATAAACGTAACATCCACTTTCGTAAACAATGTGTAAAGAAATAATGCGTTTTCTCATAATGATTAATTCTCTCACAGTTTTATTGTTATATCCATACATACGAGTACAAGCTGTGTAGCTGTAGGAGTAGCGTTTTCGTATTAACTGAAACTAATAACATGACAAAATAACTGGCTATTAGCGCTAACGATGATTCCTAATTATGCACTATAATATCATCACATAAGTAGATAATATACAGTCAAACTTCGGTTTTCAAACACAATTCTGTTCGTAAAAGTAGTTCTAAAACCTAAGCAATTTAAAAAAAACAATACAAAATGGATTAATCCGTTTCTCTCATCCAACATATAGCCTTTATTTACTTTCAGCTATATTCATTACTTTTAGATATTCTTTAAAAGTACTTGCATTTAATCAATAGACTACTGTTAAATATAGTGCGAAATTCCAATTGTGTACAAATGAAAAATAACAAAATAATTACAGATTTAACAATAAATTATTGTGATTATTATGTAATTAATTAATTTGATATAAGCACCATTAACATGAAATCTCGGATACAATTTTAATAAACTTCTTTTAAATTCAACTGAGTTGTGTACCAAACACGGAATTAATATCTTTCAGCACGCGCATTTAAATCTAATTTAAATAGCAACATCATCGATGATTCGTGTTGTGACGTCTAATGACACAAGGCGCCACTTACTTTTGAATCAATACTTGTGTCATTGATTGGTCGAACCGTTTATTTTTTTAACGATGAAAGTATAAGGAGTTGCCCATTGGTCCTTCTGTATTCTGTGGCCGGCTCTTGTCAAGAAGCTTGTTGGAGCAATTGTAATTTCGGTTTCTCCTCGTGACCATATTAGTTCGAAAAACGAGGTTTAAGTGTATTTTTAATAATAAACTTTTACTATCGAAACTATATTATTATAACAACAAAACCACCTGTAATATTTCTAATTCACGACATACAGTGGTGCCTCGTACAACGTACTTAATCCGTTCCAGGTGCACGTCCGTTAAGTGAAACGTCCGTTATACGAAACGCATTTTCCCATAGAAATACATGTTAAAACATATAATTCGTTCCGCAACATAAAATAACCGTACAGTACCATAAAAAATGAAAATGGAGCAGACACCAATTATGCCGGGTAGTCAGATGTTGTGAGGAGGAGGTGGAAGAACACTTTCTTTACACATTCATACAGATACAGACTTTTTACACATTGCAGCGGTCCTTTTACATAATACACTCCAATACTAAGGAGTAAGGACAATTTAAATTGCATAATAATAAGTTCAGAGATAAGGCAGTTAATGAAATCCAGCAGCGAGTCGCGTAACATTCTCGGTAAAAAATTTTTAAATTGTAATAGTGCCAACTGCTATATTTTATTTAAGAATGTTTTATATTATTAATTGATGTATTATAAAATGGACAAAATTACAAGGCAGAGATGAGTTTTATAAAAATAATTATAAATGTTGATATGGAATAAAAGTCTTGAGAGCTGAAAAAATAAAGTAAGTCCACTCTATTTTCCAACCTCCTTTACTTTCACCACCAAAATTCATATTGTCAATACCCTTAAAATGCAAACCTTAATGCAGAATGTCAAAAGTTTTCTCAAAAGACACGGAACTTATTAAGCATGCAAGTGCATGAACAATAATCTTACTTCCCCCCACATACACTTATATTTTTACATATAGAAAAAAACGAATATTCTCAATTTCTCGCGTTTTCAGATTTTCAGTCCAAAAGTGTAACACGCTTGCATGGTCATTTCTTGACTGACCGCCATACTCTTCCTGTGTAATATCGATAAGTGCCACAGCTCGACCCGACATTTGGTAAATATTCAAGTCAAACTTCAAAAAACAATAAAGCATGTTTTTTGAAGTTTGACTTGGTTTCGGTTGTAAGCATTATGAGTAAGCCACAAGAGACTCCATTCAAACCAAAAAGTTATAAAATTTCTGCTGTTTAAATGTTAATTCTATTTCTTGTTTTCCTATAAAACGTATGACTTTTTTTCAGTTGATTTCTGCATACTTGTCTTTCAATATATTTTTCGATCTTTGTATTTGTATAATACCGTTTATTAAGTTCACGAAATATCAGTTTGAGTTCCGGAGCTTAATGCCCATAAACACCGAGGGGCAAAGTCAACTGCCACATGCAAATATTGTTTCTTCGAATTGTATTCCTTAAATCTTCTCACTGTGTCAATTGCTATAACATCAAAAGGATCTTGGCTGGGAGATGGGACAGCATCGAGTCTGCTCTACTGAAACGAATCGAGTGAAACTTGGTACACGTGCAATGTGGATCACGGGAAAAAGATTTAAAGGAAAAATATTATTTGAAAGTTTCATCGTAGTGTGAAAATGTGAAGCTGTTCAGTCGAGGCTCTGGTGTTAATTGAAATCGTATTTATCAGGGGCATAGGCACTCAGTGTCAGAGCCAAAGGCAAACATAGTGTAACACGTCTCCCAGATTTCTGTTAAAATCTTACGTGAGGATCATAACGCTACTTTAATATTTCACCTTGTGACGACAGAGAAGGATCCTGCATTTGCACATACTGATAATGTGTAAAATATTATTTTAGTTTTCTAATAAAATGATTTTACTTGTCTGCTAATTATCATCTTTACAGCGCACGTTTTGTCCTGTTGGTGAAAATTTCCACTAATTTTTCCTTCTCATACATCTGTTCTGTAAGATATGATGTGCATTGCACGCGTATCGAGTTTCGTTCGATTCAGTTAAGTAAAGGCTGCTCTATCTGTGTCTCGGTAGCGTCAGATTAATTACAACAACACTGTATAGGCCATTTTCAAACTGGTACCATTAAAATTCCATAGTTCACAAAATGGAAGACAATTTTCATATTAAAATA